CCCAAGGCTAGCCCTGGCTGGCCTGCAATGTGACCCAAGGCTAGCCCTGGCTGGCCTGAAATGTGACCCAAGGCTAGCCCTGGCTGGCATGCAGCTCTATCCCTCGCACCCTCCCTCTCCCAGCATGCTGTCTCTAAACTGTGAATCTCTGCTGAGATCGCTCACTGTCAACCCTGCCTCCATCGGCCTCCCCTCCCCCCTCTGTGCACCTGTCCGATCCTCCCGTCCCTCTTCTGTTTCCAGTCTCCCCACACCCTGCCCATCCTTTTCTTTCTCTCTTTCTCTCTCCCTCCCTTCCCGTATCTCCCGGTTTCTGGCTTCCTGGCATCTGCTTGGTCTCTAGCACAAACAACATCTGGGCAATCGATCATCCTGGGCACAGGGAGGCAGAGAGGCGGCTGTGCAAGAGTGGCCTTCCAGCTGCTTAAGACCGGGTTGAAGTGGGGGCAGGGGTAGCTCTGACTGGGTTAAGGAAGGAGATAGAAGCACAGGGTGGCCCAGAAGCCTATGCCCCCAGTCTTGGAGAAGAGGTTTGGAGAGGGGAGAGGGGAAGGGGAAGGGGAGAGGGGAGAGGGGGAGCTGCCACGCCAGGCAGGAGCAGGTCCAGGGCCTCAAGCCACACATCTGGAGATGCCGTCAGAGTTCTCGTCCAAACCCCAGACAAGCTCCCCACACCTGGAACCTCAGTCCTGCCATCCCCCCACCATCTGAATCCAAAGATTCAAGTCGCCAGCCATCAGCCAGGTCCCCTTAGGTTTCAGCTTCCTGGGCCCACACTCCCTGGAAGCCGAAGGCACTTTGCTCCCCCAAAGCACACACTTCTCACACCATCCACCCCACAGTGGAGAACTCCCCGGAGAGTGTTTGCAAAGTGTTGGTAGTCGCATTTGTGGGGCGGGGCAGAGGCCAGGGCAGTCAGGAGAGCAGAGCTGGGTGGGGTGGATGAGGTGGGGCGGGTAGGAGAGAAAAGGCCCTTTGAGTCCAGGAGCTGAGGAAACCACGACCTTCCCTGAGGAGCCTGGCCCCCAAGTGCGGCCGCTCTGCAAACACTGACACACAAGGGCAGCTTTGAGAGACTAAGGTGAGGGAGACAGAGACTCACAGAGACCCCAGGCCTAGGAGATCTCGGAGGTCCCCACCCTCCACCAAAGCCCAGTGCAGGACAGTTCCACATCATGCTCACTACCCACAGGCCTGCCCCCGTCAAGCCGCATACTAACCCACTGTCTCAGACCCACTGATACCCCATTAATCACCCTGAGCCCCCAAATGCCCTGTCCTCTACTCTCAGGAATTCTTAGTCACCCATCTCCCTGGATTTCCTCCTCCACCCACTCAGCTCCCAAATAAGAGACAGTTGTCTTGGTCAGCCTCTGCCTAGACTCTGTAAACACCACGTACTCCATTTTCCTCTCATTTCTTTGGTCTAATCTATATCCTTTACACTGTCATTCTGCCTATTTTCTCTCCGATAATGGAGATACATACAAAATCAGCCCCTGCCTCCCGTTCTCGGAGAGAGAAGCTGGTTTCATCCTGCTTAGACCCAGAACTCCCAGACTCTGCTCTGATATCGGATTCTCTTTTCTAGGAGACTTTCCCTTCTGGAGGAAAAAAGGGCAAAGATTGGTCCTGTGGACACCAGGGTCCCAGAGGAGTCCGGCTGGCCAGAGGGGGAGGGGAAGGGCAGGAATGCACAGAGCTGGCTCTGGCCTCAGACACCTGATCCTGGCCTGTCCAGCGGCCGTCCTGTTGGCAGCCAGCCCTGGTGCTCCCTAGAGCCAGCCGCGTGGCAGCATCCAGGGCACAGGGAGGGGTTGGGGGACCCGAAGAGGACGGGACAGTGGAGGTAGCCTTCTTCCCTAGCCTTCCAGGCTCTGACTTACAGATGTCCATCCTGCTTCCTTTCTGCATCAGCCCTGGTATTCACTGCCCCAACATCAGCAAAGCCTGGACAAGACTGGCTTTGGGATCCTCGGGTCTTTCTAAGGACCCAAACCAGGAACCCAGCCTGCTCCGGCTCTCGGTTGTGGTCCCCATCCATTGGCGTTACCTGCCCTCCACCAGTCATTTCAAGGAGGGAGAGAGTCCTATACTGGCTCCAAGGAACTCAAGTGTTCATCCTTCATCCTAAACCCTGGTCACCCCAAATCCCTTTCTTAAGACTCAGACACTCCTACTCCAGGCATCTGTGGTCCCTTCCAGGCAGATGCTCCAACCTCTGGCTGACTGACACCCCGGCAGGACTCCTCTTACCTGCCCATCCCGGGGCAGCACTCAGCCCCAGCACCAGAGGTAGCAGCAGCAGGAGGCGGTGGCGGGGGCTGCACCGCTCCATGGCTCAGAATGCCGGGTCCGAGACCCAGACAGCCCTGGTGCGCGGACAGTAGAAAGAGCCTGTGAGCCTTGGAACTGGGACCCAGGGATGTCAGCAGCTTTCGGCGGTCAGCTCCATGCAGCAAGGTGTTGTCGAGGGTACCTCTGTGTGCTTGTCACCGCTGCTTGCTCCTCGGTGGCCGCTACTGTGTGCCCCTGGCCACCCTGGCAGCTCAGGGACCCCAGCTCGCCCCCGCCCCCAGGTCCGGCCCCCGCCCCTAGCCGCCCGCCCACAGCCACCAAGGGGAAACCCCACCCCCGATCTCCACCTGGGCAGGGGAGTGTGGGGGCGAGAACCGCTCCTCGAGGGCTGGCCCTGGAACGGTGCACTCCTACTCCTGGAGGGATTAGGTGGCCTGTGTGCACCCTCAGATTGTCTTTGGGAGAACTTAATATTATCTTCTCTGGTCCCTTCCTTTTGGGGACCCTATGGTCCAGTCGCACACACAACGGTCCCCGCCCTTGGGGGCCCAGAGCCCCTCTGCAGAGTCCGGGGAGGGGCTCAGGGCACAGTGGGACATAAGGGGCGGGTCTACAGGCCACTGCCCCACGCCCACTTGTAATCAGGTCTCCATAATTACCTCCTTCGTCCCGCCCCATGTAATTACAGAGCAGTCCCGGGCGGGGTGTTTACAGACCCAGCTATAGATAGCGACCGAGACGTGGGGGCCGTGGGGTGGCCTTGCGGAGCAGAGGGAGGCCAGAGACGGGCAAACTGGCTAATCGCCCGAGAAGATAGAAGTACTGGACTAGGTAAAACAGTGGAACGGGACAGGACAGTGACGCGGGGACAGGCGATGCTGCTAGAAGGGTCTTGCAAAAGGGGGTCACTCAGGGACGTGGCCACTCCAGGAGGGTAGCGCTGAGAGCAGCGCACCCCTACATGTGGGCACGGCGCCGGGTCTGCCCGGAGCCTGCGGCGCAGCCGGGGAGAAAGCTGGAGCGAGCGAGACGCCGCCGCCCGCTGGCGCTGGGAGGGCACCCGCGAACAAGGCGCCTTTGAGAAGCAGCGGGTCTCCCTCCTCCCTGGGCAGCCCCGCCCCCAGCCTGGCACACCCTCTCCCCCTCCCGACAAAGCTCGCCTTGTGTCTCCCACCCTGCACCGCCTCTGCAGCCCCAGGGAACCTGGGCCGCTGCAGCAGCACCCAGGGAGCGTGTCAGGGTTTCCCACCGAGTATCCCCACCTAGAGGATGCCGTGGTACCCACCACCCAGTCACCTCAGTCCAGAAAACAGCTGTCTTAACTGGAAAGCGATTTTATGTGCGAGTGAAAGAGGGAGGGATCCCCCCCCAAAAAAACCAAAAGAGACCCAGGGCAAAACCATGCAGCCCAGCACCCATCTCTGAAGGCCGGCCACGCCGTCAATTCTGCCCCCAGCCTGTGTGCTGAGGAACAGGGACAGCTGTAAAAGGAAAGGCCACCCAAACCAGCACCCCTCACTGCCCAGACCCGTCCAGGAGCCAGTGAGATGGGGAAGGCAGCACCCACCGGGAGACCACGGGCAGACACCTGAGGGGCCTCCTTGCCCACATGCCGCTCTGGCCCCGGCATGTAAGCCAACCTGGGGATGTACAGTACTTCTCTGAGTCTAACTCCCAGGCCCTCCTCACAGGAAATTAAAGATGGCAGTCGGCCCCCCATCTCCACCGGCCCTTCACCACCACCTTTATTCCTCGTCTGACGGCAGGAGACAGGAGGGGCACCCCTCCCTCGGCCCCCACCTGTCAGGTTGGGGGGATGAAGGGCTATCAGAGCCCTGCTCCCGAGACCATCAGCTTGGGGGGCCTGCCCCGCAACACCCTTTCTAGGGGAGCTCCATTCCACTCTTCAGAAGGGAGTGAGGCAGGATGAAAAGGGAGTGGAGTCCCGGGACCAGGGCCAGTGCTTTGTGCTGGGGGAGCCAGGATGACCCACATCACGGGAGACCCCGGCAAATTCAGAGACTCAAGGCCACTGAAGGTAGACATGGAGTCGCCACAGGGACCTGGGGCCCCCTCTGACTTGGAGACCAGGCAAACCCTAAGGGTCGCCAGATGCCTTGCAGGCTGCAGGAGTCCCCTCCTCGGCACCCACCGTTTGCCCACGGCTCTGGCTGGGCCCTCGGCCCTCCCACCCTGCCCAGGCTCAAGTCCTCTTCCTCGGTGCTCCCCACCGCTGAGGAGTGGTCTGGGTTCAGGCTAGCTGGTGGGGAGCCTCGAGCATCTCCATGAGGAAGGTGTCAATGGGGGTGTCGCCAATGAGCTTGAAGAAGAACAGGTGCTCCAGACACTTGAGGCCGATGGAGCGGAGGGCAGGAAGACGTAGCAGCAGCTTGGCAAACCTGTGGTGGGGGCGGGAGGGAGTAAGAGGCAGCGCCGCCCAGGCCCTGGCCGTGCCCCAGCCTCGCCCTCCGTGGGGTCCCCAGCCCCGAGGCCTCCGTGGGGTCCCCAGCCCCGAGGCCTCCGTGGGGTCCCCAGCCCCGAGGCCTCCGTGGGGTCCCCAGCC